CTGCGGCAGTTAAAAGAATTATTTCGAATTTAGGAGTTTCTTGGCTTCCACAAACTGATGTGGTAATTTGGCAAATTGCGAGAGGGTTGATTCTTTGGGAAGTTTGGAAGGAGAGAAATAGAAGAATGTTTGAATGGATTTATTTGCCTATGGAAAGTATTTTGGAAAAAAATTGACATTCCATTTGGCTTTCATGTTCAATCACAAAAGAGGGGAAAGACATTCTTGAAGTGGATGTTAGGAGAAATGTAACAAATATTTTCCATTTAAGATATTTTAAGTGTAGGCCTCACGGGAGATTGATATGCCCTTTGGTTGGGGTTTTTAAACTTGATTTTAATGGGAGCTCTTTAGGAAATCTGGGTCCTGTTGGCTTTGGAGGAGTGGTGATGGAGTTGAATGGATCTATTGTTGTTTCTTATGCAAGCCCATTGGGAGACAAAACTACAAATTGGTGCAGATTTATTGGCTCTCTTCTATAGTTTAAAATTCTTTGTAGCAAGGAATTCAGGGTCTTATTGTGTGGTGGAAGGTGATTCTTTGAATGTTATAAAGTGGTGTAATAAGGAGCAGAAACCACCTTGGGAACTTCAGTCCATCTTGTTAAAATTTGAGATATGTCTAGACCTTTCATTTTCTCCTTTGTGCATATCTTCCGTGAGGTCAATATTTTAGCAGGCTTCCTTGCCAAAGGAGGAATTTCTTTAATTGAGACTGTCGTCTCATATTCTGTAATTTTTTTCAATCGTTGATTAATGAAGTTCTGAATTTCTATTAAAAAATAAAAAATAAAATTGAATTCTTCATGATAGCCTTAAAATATATTTTCATCTTTATTTATAAATTTTAAAGCTTAAAAAATAGTGTAGATCGACATATCTATGAAAACTTTAAAATCTTGAAAATTGACGGTCCAAAAATGTGTTAAAAATATTAGTATTTTCAAAACATGAAATCCATTTTTTTTCTCATGTCCATGCATCTTGATGTCGAAATGATCAATTTGAGGATATTTAGACATCAAAACAACCTCTTCTAATGAAATTTTTGTGATAGGCTGCAATTTGATTGTTTAGAGCCTCGGCTCTATACAAACCTTTCCCATTAAAAACTAAACCAACAGGGATACTTCAAGGAGTTATAACCCCCTTAAATGATATTACAAGGAGTTATAACCCCTTAAATGATATTTCCTATTTTCATATGACGAGTAGGACCAGCAAGGGGCGTGTTGCAACAATTTTGAGTCCTTAAGAGCAAATACATCGTTTGATATTTCCTAGTTTCCATTTGAATATTGGATTCCTGATATTTATTTCTCCTGCACATAAACCCAACTTTTCACATAACCTTCCTTACCCTATCCAATCTCTAAAGGATTGGTTCAAAAGTAGAGTTGTTCACCGCGTCCATTTTGAAAACCAAAGGTTGGACTCCATAAGCTATACTTTTTTGAGAAAATTACGTATTTTTTTCCACCCCTTTATTACCGTATGGGAATATTTTTTTTTTGTCAAAATTGCAATCAGCACAACCCAAGGGTGGCGGTGCTTTTCTTTTTCCGCAACTACCCACGTGTCCGGCCATGACAAGATCGGACCGCAGCTAAACCAGACATGTTTTCAATTTTTTCTTTTTTAGAGAGTGCGTACATTATGCTCCTGCAGGAGCAACTGTGCATCTAGTGTCCGTTCGGCAATGACAAGACCTAACCGAGGAAAATCAAACAAGTTTTCAAAAAAGAAAAAATTTATAGTGCATGCACTGTGATCCTGCAGGAGCAAACTATGCATCTACTCCTTTGGTCAAAACACTTAGCGACTTTAATCTAAAAATTTGGGGAACAATATAATAATTATTAGTTTTCAGTTTGGATGTAACCAAAATTTAACTAAAATTGAAATATTTTTGGATTGCAATCTAAAATCTTGTGAAACAGACTTTTATCCATTTGGACAACCTTTAAATTTTACTAGATTTTTATATTGAAATAAAAAAATACTACCATATCAAGACAAAAGTTACCGTCCAAAATAATTCAAGTCAAACTTGAATTTTTTTAGGATAAAAGTGTCGGCCTTCTCTCATCCGTGCAAATGCGAGCCTTTTCTCTTGTATCACATCCATAGGAAACCCCTTCTCTTCCTTAATGAGGAGGAAATGAAAATGCTTTTTCTCTCTCAAAATTCAGAGAAGCTCAAACCCCATCCATGGCAAGAGAAGATCAAGCCCCATCCATGACAAGCATTAGGCGACATCTTTGTAAGCCCAATGCCCTTTCTCTATCTACAAAACGAACATTTTTCTCTCATACCACACCTATAAAAAACCCTTCTCTTCTTGATTAAGAGCACTTTTATTTTCGCTCTCTAAAAAAACAGACAAGCTCAACCACCATCCCAAACTCTGAAACAATCTTTCTGCACCTGAATTCCTCATCTTCTCTGAAATCGGCCCACCACTTTCCAGTAAACTAAAGCCCCATGACTCTTTTCAATCGTTGGATGCAAGAAATTCTTGGGATGGTTACTCAGCAAAAGATCCACTATCTGCCTGGCCTCCCACTAACCCCCTGCTTCAGCTCCTGAAAGCCCTGTTCCTCTGCAAATCCCGTGAGCAATTGGAGGTCGGCGTCGAGCCCCAAGACCGCATTTCCATTGAAGCAGCGCACTGTGTCACTTGCGAGCAATGTCATGATCCCCTCCGATATTTGCGAGAGTGCACCCTTCAAGGTCCTGCTGAGCATTTCGAGTGGGAGCACCTGGCCCATGGTCAAAACTACGGGATCAACATGCCCCGTTTTAGATCACAATTTTGTAAGTGAGAACCTCAAGTTGCAGGTTCTCCATATTGTATGGAAGCCAATCTTTTTACTGATGCGAGGGATACAACAAAATCTTTTGGATTGGGAAGACAATTTTGAATGGGTAGAATGCAAATTTGCTTTTAGTATGTTCACACCATCCAAACAATCCAGCAGACTAATAAAAAAAGATGATAATATTTTTTAATGAATGATGAATAAATCTTGCCATTTTTTTCAATGTGAAAGTTTTTTTGTTTGACATCCAAACTGGCCCTAGATGATTGTTTTGAAGAAACAAAACTTAAATTTTGAGGTTTCTTAGATCTAACCCTTAAAAAATTAGACAGTCTTTATTCAATTCTCCAGGTTTTTTTTTTTAGTACATAGAGAGTTTATTGTAGTATTTTTTTTTTAATGGTTTACGTACAGACCTTAAAGTTTTAGGTAAAATACAAAATGCACTGCTCATAGGCAGAAATTACAAAGAAAGTCGTTTAACCCAACTTTTTTTATTTTTGTACAATTGGGCCTTGATCAACCCCAATTTTGATTTTCTTTTGTATTTTTTTCATTAGTAGGGCAGTGCCCTAAGCTTTAACTCACTGCCTTATTAATGAAATAGCTCACAAAAAAGTTAATATATATATATATATATATATATCGGATTGACTAAGGGGCAATTTTTTAAAAAATAAAAAATATGGGTTGACCAGCCTTCTTTATAATTTCTGCATATAAGTGAAACATTTCGTATTTTACCTAAAATTTTGAGATCCGTATGTAAATCACTATTTTTTTTATTGAGATTATTCTATGGGTTGTAGAGATTATACCCCCGAAATTTGAGATCTATAAAGTATCCCTAGCATGTATTTTACCCCAAGGAGTAAATAGATAGCATACTTCTTTCTTTTTTTTTTTGGGTAAGTAAGTGGGGAAAAAGCCCCCTACACGTTTTTTATTAATAAAAATTTTAAAAAAAATAGTTCATTATATTACAGCCCTATAATAAAACAGATACGTCAAATCATGAAAAATATAAAATAAAATCTGGTGGTTGAAAACTCCAAATAATAACTCCAGAAGCACTCTTAACCAGGGCATCAGCTATCATATTGGCCTCGTGAGATTGACCATATACGAGTTGAATGTCTACTCTGACAGTTAGACCATAGAAAGTCTTTTCGAGAGTAAATAGTTACTCTCTAATTCTAGCTCCTCACCCTCGTGTTTGGTGTTATCACCCTTTATGTCTGGTATTGACATTGCCGTATAATTAGACCGTGGCAAAAAGGAGGACAACCGTTGAAAGTCTTTTCAAGAGTAAATAGTTACTCTCTAATTCTAGCTCCTCACCCTCGTGTTTGGTGTTAACACCCTTTAGGTCTGGTATTGACATTGCCGTATAATTCGACCGTGGCAAAAAGGAGGACACTTGAGATGGGGCTACTAGTTGTAATTTTTGGTGCATAAAAAATAAAAAATAAATAAATTGTTTCCAATAGGTAAAAATAATGTTTACAAGTAATTTCCCTATATTGTACCATGCATCATATTTATTAAGTATATTTTTTCTTTAAGTGCAGTTTCTATAACGATGCAACCTTAAACAATAGGCACACCTTAAAATTTTATCATATCATGTAAGTTTGTTATAAAATTTTTTTAGTATTATTTTAAAAGTATCGATCCTTTAGGACCGGTTCCCACCTATGTATGTAGGACCCAAAAGAATCACCTTTAAAATTGATATGGATCTCTAAAAAAGTTATCACATGAAGGTGGGACTTCACTTTTCTAGAGATCCGTGTCAATTTTAATGGTGATCCTTTGAGTATATACATAGGTGAAGGAGGGTCCTATAGGATCATTTTTCGTATCTTAAAAACTATTTTCATACTTAATTAGAAATTTTTAAATTTCAAAAATGGTGAAAATCAAGTAGATCTATAAATATATGAAAATCTCGAAAATGGACGGTCTAGATAATGTGTTGCAAAATGCATTATTCCTGGAACTCAAATTTTTTTTTTTTCTATATTTATACATCTCAATGTCTAGATGACCGATTAGAAAGTTTTTTCAACACTAAAACAACATTTCCAATAGATTTAGCAACCTTATATAAACTTTGCCCTTTTTATTTTTAAGTGAAGTTAGCTAAATTTATCCATCACATAGTAGAGACGGAAACTATTCAAACATTATCCTCTCCCTCTCTCCTCTCTCTATATATATTTATTCATACATATTGTGTCTCTCTTCACAAGAGTATCGATTTATCTCTCTCACCCTACAGTCTCTCTCCCCTCTCTCTGTATGTAAGACCCCAACCTGCATTTCTCTCTCCTAAAACTAAAAACTAAACCCCAAAAAACACTGCAAATGAATCCAGAATCCGAGCAAATCCACCATGAAAACTCCACCCCTGAAGAAACCCTAACTCACAGCAGGTTCACAGGAGGCACAGAGAACAGTTGGTGCAGAGCAGTAATGGGAGGAACAGGGATTACAGTCCTCTCTCTTCTTCTCTCTAAACCTATGGACCCGACCATTATACAAGAAACCCTGCAAACGATCATGACCCAAAGCCCTCTTCTTCGACACAAGTTAGTATGGGAGAGCAACTCCAAAAACCCATCGTTTTCTCTCTCTTCAAACCCATCTCCCAATTTCGAAATCATCGATACTTCTCCGACTCTGAAGCTCTTAGGAGTGCTTTCAGACCAAACGCATTTGGGGAATTTCATTGGAGATGCATTTCACTGTCTTTTGGAGCATGAATTGAACAGAAACTCATGGTGTGATGGGTTAAATGAAAAACCAATGAATATGTTCTTTGTTACTCTGTATTTTCTTGGTGGCTCTCACTCCATTCTCTCTCTAAGATTGCACACTGCAATTTGTGACAGAGCATCAGCTGTTTGTATACTTAGAAAGATTTTGAGATTGGTTTATGAGAGAGAAAGTGGGGTTATTGGAGCTTCTGAAACAGGGGATGTAGTTCATGAAGGGATAGAGGATTTGATTCCAAAAGGGAAAGCTGATAAACCATTTTGGGCTCATGGTATTGATCTTTTGGGTTATTCATTGGGATCAAAGAGATTAACAAATATACAGTTTCAGGAAACCAAATTGCCTCGTAGTTCTCAGATGATCAGATTGCAGATGGGTTATGAAGAAACAGGGCGTCTTTTGGCTGTAAGTCGGCTGTTTCTCTCTCAAAAAATGAGGAATTTAATGAATTCTTCGATTTTATCGATTTAATCCATGACAAAAACAAAAAAGAGACCCAAATTCGTTTCTCTCTCTCTAAGCTATGTATTCGATTGCTTCTGTTTTTTGGGTTTCACTTTTAAATGGGTTTTTTCTCTTTCTAGGACAAGTGATGAACTCTGTTCAGTTGAATTAGTAATGTGAACTTGGATGCATGAAGCTTTTTAAGTTTTTTTGGCTTTTTTAATGGCAGGAATGTAGAAGAAAGGGAGTGAAGCTTTGTGGAGCCATAGCTGCAGCTGGTTTGATGGCGGTTTCTCTCTCTAAACAGCTTCACAATCAGTGTGAGAATTATGCTATTGTTACTCTGATTGATTGCAGAAAGATGCTGGAACCTGCTCTACATGATGACAATCTCGGTAAGCTCGCTCCCTCTCTCTCTCTCTCTCTGCAACACTCTTTCAACCAGTTCTTCACAAAGGGTTTTGTGGAGAGCCTCTCTCTTAACTGGTTATTCATGATACTGATGTGGGCTACTCTCTCTCTCCACCTGTTCTTCACCAGTACTCTCTTCGCAAACGGTTTTGCACAATACGGTTTTTTACATTATTATTGTTATCAACCTTCCTAAAAAACGCCGGGAGCCTATGGGTGTAGGCCGTGGTTGAAAATTCGAACCGGACTCGGAAGCCGGTCCAGGGGCGGGTTCCGAGTCACTGAAAAACCAGCCCGTTAGATCAGCCTAACTTTGGCATGCCTCCGCTGGTCAAAAAATTATTTAAAAATAAAAAATATAAAAAATATTGAAATGTATATTTAAAATAGAGCAATGATCCAATGCAACGGTTGTATCATAGTATAATACGTCACCTCTAAAAAATCATGTTTGTAGCATATGTACACACTCTCTTCATCTCAATAATCAAGAACCCACTATCTCTTCATCTCAATAATCAATAACCCAGCCCCCCCCCCAAAAATCAATTTTTTCTTTTTTAACATTGTTCATCTAATGATAATAAATGCATCTAAAAAATTTGGAAATGAAAAAATCATTCTAAGGCCTAGATCTAAGCATCTCACCAAAATAAACGGTCCATGTTAATTGGGCTACAAAAATACTTTCTTGGTTGTGTTTTCAATTTTTTAAAATTGTTTTTATTATTCATTAGAATGAAAAGAGTATATATGTCAAAATTAGGATCAAACAAATGGCCATAAGATGGTTTTTAAAGGTTGTTGCATCATATTACCATACAACGGTTGCATGAAATCATTATTTTTTAAAATATGATTAAACAAAGCACGTCCAAATGACCTTGAAAATAAAACTAAAAAAACAGATTTAAAAAAAAATACATCGATGCTTAGGGGTATTTTTGAAGTTTTCTTAAAAAAATGAAAAAAAGTAAAAATAAGTATTTATAGCTGAAACACTTTCCAATCTTTGCAAAAATGATAAAATAAATATTTAAAAGCTAATTATAAATAAATCTATTAATTTTTTGGGGTTTTATATAATTTTTTTTTAATGTTTTTTTTTAATCCTTGGCTAGATCCTCAAACCGGCCAAAACCAAAACCGGCTGGTGGCCAGTTGAACCGGCCAACACTTTCGCTCTAACCGGCTAGTTCCAATTTGAACAGGTCAATATTGCATTCACGGGTCTTGATTACCTTCCACTTTGGTGTAGGCTGCCCAGCACCTAAGCTTAAGTTCAAAAGGGGCCAATGGTGTTTAGTAATCCTATTATAGATACAAATTTTGTAAAAAAAAAATTTAGATATAAATTTTGTAAAAAAAAAATTTAGATACAAATTTTGTAAAAAAAAGATAATATTTGCATATCCATGATTTTTACATGGGTACAGTTGGCATATAGATGCATCCGTAGCGGTCGAGGTAAGTGCACCTTCAAATTTTACCACGGTATATAATTTTGATATAAAATGTTTTTAGGATTATCTCAAAATCTATTTTTATATCTAATTATAGAACTTTAAATTTCAAAAATAGTTAAAATCAAGTAGATCTATAAATATATGAAAATCTTGAAAATGGATTGTGTAGATAATATGTTGTAAAATACACTATTTTTGGGACTTAAAATCTTTTTTATTTTTCAAAGCCATACAACTCGATGTTGGAGATGATCAATCAGAGGGTTTTTCAACATTAAAACTACCTTTTCCCATGGATTTTTTAGCGCCATTCATAGTTCTACATTATAAGGTAGCATCCTTATATAAACTTTGTAATTCTATTTTGGATACAAATTTTATACGGTAAAAAAAAATTGCATATCCATGATTTTTACAATTCAAATAAAAAAAACACTAAAACTACGGACCAATGGTTATTTTTTCACGTAGTGCGCGTAGTGCACCATACCGAATGCTTTTTCAATCAATTATTGTTATGCAGAATCTCTCCCAAGTCTCACATTTAATTAACAATGATTATTGCGTAGAATCCCTGTCTCGTTCTGAGGGCTTTCTCGTGATAAAACGCGAGAAAAACGTACGATTTTCTGTTCTGTGTCTTCTGCGTGTTTTGGCATCGTTACCCTTAAAAGGGGAAACGAGCATTTTGATGTTTAGGTGAAAAAGCAACGGAGGCATCGCCTTTTTTCGTGCCTCTTTTGTCCCACCACCGCCAACCATTAAATAACGTAACGTTGGGGAAGTGGCAGAACCGTCGTTTTTAGTTGCAATAGATGTTCCACTCAATATGGAAATACCACTGTCTCTATGCGCCAAAGCCCGCATATGATTGTAGAAAATCCGATTCAACCTTTCTAACCTCACGAGTCCCCCAAGGTCAAAAAAATGTTAAAAAATATAAAAAAAAGATAAAAAAAAACTACGAATTCAAATGAAGTTGAAAATTAATAAAAAAAAATAGATTTTAACGAATCGATTTTTGAATTAAAGTGAGTGTTAATGACAAAAACAATTTTAAATCTTTATCATAACGTAAAGAATATTAAAAAATACACTACAAACTAATTTTACTATTTTTGAGAATTTATATATATTTTTCTAAATTTTTTTTAAAATACCTGTCTATCACAAAAATCGAAACAAGCCAGTTCCGATCTAACCGGACGGTTAGCGGTTAGATTGCCCAAGTTTTCTAATGGTAGAAACGCCGGCCTCTTAATAACTTCACTTTTTTTAGATGGATTTTAAGACTTAATTTTTAGGACCCGGTTTCTATGTGGCCAAGCCCGCTTATGTAGACCGCTTTACACTTTCTGGACCGCATATGTAGAAATGTGGTCGAGCCCGCATTAACCAATGTCTGCTCTCCCACTCTTTCTTTGTAGGCATCGAAATAGGAAGAAAGCGCAATCCTTCGTGTACTCCTAGGCGCTCTCTCTCTCTCTCTCTCTTCCCCTTAGAAGTGATCGCTCGCATCCTATGTACACTCTCTCTCTCTAACCGAGAATGATTATTGTTGATATGTTGGGTGAAGGTTTACAAAAATAATCCTTGCAAAAACTTGAAGAGCGAGCCTGAAATATTGTGGCCATAGTGTTCGCAAGAAGTTCAAGCTCATACAGCCCGGCCCTAGTCCTCCAAGAGCCGGAGCTGGGGCCGGGTCAAAATAAAATAAAAATAAAGAAAAAAAAGAAAGAAAAGACAGGATGGTTGGGCCAAGCCGGGCAGCTAAACATAATAACAATGGTGTTAATGTCATTATGTTTAGCTTAATATAATCCATGCAGTTAGGAGAATCATTAAAAATGTTTGAAACCTACCTACCTGACAATGGAGTTAAATGTTATTATGTTTAGCTTAATATGGTCCATGCAGTTAGGAGAATCATTAAAAATGTTTGAATGTGCTAGAGTGAGAGAACTTGTGCAGTATGCTCCCCACCGGAGCAAAAACAAAAACCATATGCTCCCTCAGGCAAATGACTAACTCAGTATGATTTCTTTTATTTGAAAATTTTGGAGCCACTCCAAAGAATCAGAAGCGTATTTTATTCAAAGACGAAAGAGAATTTTGAGTATTTAAACATATGCATCAGACCATCCAAAATTTGGATATTCCCTTTGCAATTTAAGGCTGTTATTTTTTCAAGCAGATCAATTGGGTCATGTTCATGCTTTTGTTTTCTTCCTTTCGGTTCTTTTTTAGGTTGGTCACCAGGATTTGGACAAGTCACACAAGTTATCCAATGGAAACTGTATCCATGCCTGTTCGAAATGCGAATTATAGGATTCAATGCCATGGAAATGAGAATGACAAACATTTTTTCTAAAGATATGGGCAAAATAGAAGTTTAACTCCTGAAGAGAGTCTCAACTAATTAATTTTATTGCTTTTATCGAGAGGGAGACTAGGTGTCCAAAATTTTAATCTAAAAACATGACATGCTCCTATGGAGCAAATTGTACATTTGCCCTCTCAAAACTAAAGAAAAAAAAAAGAAAAAGAGAATAACATGGTCAATTTTACATTTGCCCTCTCAAACTTGGCTATTATTCATGCGTCAGTCTTCTCATGTCAAAGGTACGCATCCCGCAAGCATTGATACAATATTTTTATTAAAAAAAGATGTTTCTTATTTTATTAAAAAATAAAAAATAAGCCTTGACTAATTTTATTATACACATTTGACCACGTTATTCTCGTTTTTTTTAACATGACATGAACTTAGCCGAGTTGCTGGGACTCGGCCGAATAACTCGCCTTAGCCAAAGTCCGAGTACCTTGGCCGAATCGATTGTTTGAACCTTGCATGAAAGTTCGATGGGTCAGGAAATGGAAATTTACATTCCAACATGTTTTGCTTGATCCCCCTTAATAACCTGTAATGTAAACATAATATGCATCCGTGATGATCAAAAGCCGGTGGCCATCAAAGGATATCTTGTAGGCATACATAAACAAACTATTTTAGAAAACACAAAAGAGCAAAACTATAATTAGAATTATGAGAAAAACATGAAATATAAACACCAAGGCCACTATTCATGAATACTCATATCTAACCCTTTAAAATAGACACATCTTGTAGGCCTATTTCATTATAAAAATAGTTTAATGTCACCTAAACCTACTTTTCATTTTATCTAGATGATGTCTAGATGTATTGGAGAGGTTAATTTTGGTGTTGGTATTTAATCCATGTGTTAACTAATGTAGCAAGAAAGAAAATTCACGTTTGCCTCTCGTCTTATGGTTGGTACGAGGTTCATATCTCATTATACCATGGCCCTAGATAGATGAGGTGGTCTCATGGTGTCAAGGTACCATAATATGGCGTCTAGAGTTATATTCCTATAAAAGTAAGAAATTTAACACTTATGTTTCAGGATTCTATCACTCTGCGATCATGAACACAATCTCCATAAATGGCGAAGAAGATCTATGGCAACTTGCTAATCGATTCAAGGAGGCACTAAATGGCACGATTTCGCGTAATAAGCATTTTACAGATATGTCTGATGTTAACTATCTCATGTGTAAGGCAATCTCATGTCCTGCTTTCACTCCCTATTCTTCTTTGAGGACCTCTTTCATGGTTGTGTTTGAAGACACATTGATGGATGATACACAAGATCTGCAGGAGGAATTAGGGGTGCTAGACTATGTTGGTTGCTCTTCTGTTCATGGAGTGGGGCCATCCATTGCTGTTTTCGACACGGTAAGAAATGGCCAACTCGATTGTGCTTGCGTTTATCCTTCGCCTCTTCATTCAAGAAAGCAGATGCACGGATTGATCGAAAACATGAAGAACATCCTTACTGGTGCCAGTGGTTGATCTTACCTCCATGTTAATTTCTTTATCTAGAATCCTTTGCTCTTTCTTTTTCATCCACCCGTCTTTGATTCTCTTTCTGATGTTTTTATTACTGTTGCTCTTGTGGTTCCATGAAGAGTGAGCAACAGCTATCCGAAACTGAGAGTCATTATGATCATTAACATGGTTAAGAGCCATGTAGATCCATTAACATAGTTGAGAGATATAAATCTCTAGATTTTCAAGATGGCTGTTTAAGATAGATCTACACCGGAAATGCTTGTGTTTAGGTTGATACCTTGATCTTTTTTTTTTTTTGGTGAGTCAGTGGCGAGAGGGCCCCTACCCTTGGTAGGAATTGAGGAATTGAGCATAGGACGTAGCATTGCAAATCGTCAAGTGTTAACCAATTAAACCCTGGCTCTTTAAATTGATATTTTAATTTGGGTACTGACTGTTATATTTTTAGTTTTGAAAAATACTTATGACTATTTCAAAAGGGAGTAGAGCCTACCTTCAAATAATGTCGAGAAATGTGATTTCAATAGTGAAAATATTTTTGATAGTACTAAAATATATTTTCATCTTTATTTATAAAGTTTAAAGCTTAAAAAATAGTGTAGATAAAGAGATCTATGAAAACTTGAAAATCTTGAAAATTGACTGTCCAAAAATGCATTATGAAATATATTATTTCCAAAACTTGAAATCTATTTTTTTTTTCTCATATCCATGCATCTTGATGTCGAGATGATCAATTTAAGGATATTTGGGCATCAAAGCAGCCTCTTCTAATTAAATATTTGAGATATGCTCTAATTTGATTGTTTAAAGCTTCGGCTCTATATAAACTTTTCCCATTTCAAAATAATATCTCTTATTTCTTAATGTTTTGGAAAGAGTAAAGACTTGAGAGAGTTACCTTATTAATAGTTGAGCGGTAATAATGGTGAATTAAGTATAATAATGTCATACTCACTATTATAGTATCTAACTACTGGTTAATTATCTTATGGTAACTCATGGTGAAGATACGTCAACATAATATACGTAAGAGTTAAGTATAATAGTGACTATTTGGTTAGTGTATAAACACTTGGACAAATTGGTTTATAATATATAACGTTTGTAACTCTTATGCTTTATAAAAAGTCTAAAAAGACCTACAAAAGTCTTTGGACTAATTTATAAATAATAAGATAAGTCGTTGTCTTAATGAGGCATACTATTTCTTTATAGATAGCGACCTATTCCATCTTGTTTTACACAAAGAAGCAACATTAATTTTTATAGGAGTTTTATGAGAACTTTCTCGCTCTAAAAGTGGCAACTGCATTGCTCTAGATCTTGAAATATTTGTGCATTTTTATTGGCAAGATTGATATCTTGCAATATTTGTACATTTGTATTGGCTTGATTGCTTCCTCATCCTTTGCTGCCATGTATCCTGAGTAAAATTATGCCCGGTAAAACTTAAATGGACACTGATGCTTATTAATAATGGGCAAACGTTGTCTTGAGAAAGCGATTTATCGTGCCTAGGATCAAAGAGATTGAACCCCATTTTATTTTCTTTCATATCCTATTCTTGCCTTGTTTCACCCCTCAATTTCCAAAACTGATTTGCTTGGTCACCGAATTGCAACACTATGTAGCAGGATTGGATCCCACCACTAACCTACCCAAACAAAACAAATAAACTGAAAAAATGATTTCGGTCAAAATGAAACCAAGTTTTTAATATTTGGAAAGCCTTGCAAGAATTAGCATAAGTTCTAGATTTTGAACATGGTCAATTGTTAGTCGAAGACTCTCTATGCCTATTTAACAAGGTTTCAAATAATATTGATCCAGGTCAAAATCGGCAGATTCAAATCGAAAATCGTGGTGGGTGAAAGGTCCCCTAATATATCGATAACACTCCTTTTATAATATATTGAGAACTGACCCTTTATAACATATCGAGAACTGGCCCTTTAGAATATATCGAGAATTGACCGACTCCCTTGTAAAAGCTGGCATTTTATAATATATCGAGAACTGACCCTTTATAATATATCGAGAACTAGCCGATTTCTTGTGAAAGCTAGCCCTTTATAATATATCGAGAACTGGCCGACTCCCTTGTGAAAGCTTCCCTAATATATCAAGAACCAGTTGACTCCATTCTGGCCGACTCCCTTGTGAAAGCTTCCTTAATATATCAAGAACTGGTTGACTCCATTCTCCCATAATATATCGAGAACTAACCGACTCCTTTTATAACACAAGAACTAGCTAACTTCCCTAATATATTGAGAACTAGCCCTTAATATATTGAGAACTAGCCGACTCCCTTTATAACACAATTCTCCCGTGATATATCGAGAACTAGTCGACTCTCTTTATAACACAAGAACTGGCTAGCTCCCCTAATATATTGAAAACTAGCCCTTAATATATCGAGAACTAGCCGACTCTCTTTATAACACAAGAACTGACTAACTCCCCTAATATATTGAGAACTAGCCCTTGATATATCGAGAACTAGCCGACTCCCTTTATAACACAAGAACCAGCTAACTCCATTCACCCCTAATATTAACATAAGAACTGGCTAACTCCATTCTCCCCTCTAATATTACCATTATCCTCTAATTAAGATTGTATATTAGAACATTGGATAACTTATTTAAATATAATTACTCAAATAATTAAGTACCCAACTTACATGATGCAATGAATATAAAAAAAAAACAAGAAAAGACAAGCATGACAAACCAACCCATAATATACACAAATATTAATAAAAAAGCATTGGAACACACAAAGTTGATCATGACATTGCATTTAATTGCTTCCAAAGTGAAAAACCTAATGTTAAGATGGGATGCGATTAGATTTATGTGAACTTATAGGACAAAAAATTAAAAAAAGAAAAAGAAAAATTAGTATACCAAAGTGTGAATTTGAATGTTGTCAAACTTCACATAAAGGAGAGAACACCTCCATAGGTCTAATGAATAACTAAAAATTAGGTCATGATAGATATATGAATTAATGCAAACTTTCGAAAAAAAATATTTATAAAATAATAAAAAATAATTATAAAAATTATTGTTGAATGGTAATGATATAAAAAAGCATGAGAAGGTCATAAACAAGTAAGTTCTTTCTTTCTAAATTAATCTCTCTCCCCCAATACTCCTCCTTTTCTTCTCCCTCTCTACGTACCTCCCTATCTCTCATGTCCTCTATCCCCTCTCCCTCCCATTTCTTTCTCTCTCCATATTTTTTTTAACTCGTTAATTTAGTTATTAGATTAAAAGATTTTGTAACTCATTAATTTAGTTATTAGATTAAAAAAATACTTATTTAAGATAAATATTATAGCTTCTAAAAAAATATTGGATTAGGATAAAAAAATCCATCTAGATCTTCTCTTAAAAAAGAGATATTTTCTAAAATATATCCCTTTCAATAGATCAAAGATCACTGTAGAAAAACCAACTGCCCCAATAAATGGAGTGGAGTCTTGGGCCACCACATTTTCTCACTCAAAAAAAAAATCGCAGTAATGTTTACTTTGAATTATTTGAGTTGTAGCGATTCACTTAGAAAGATCACCAAAAAATTCAAAATGAGGTTGTATTTGAATTTTTTGGGCTAAGGTTTTTTGTTATTTACAATTATTTATGCCTATTTACAGTAAAAGGAAAAAAATGAAAATCACAATTTTATTTTCATAACAATTACTTTGTGATTTAAACAGTAGAACATCGAGTAACTTTTTAATGTGACTGATTACTTAAGCTATATTGATTGGAAATTGGAACTTTCTCTACGAAAATTTACTATTACGGTGGCATTCTCTTTTAAAAGTTATGGTTTCTTTGTTAAGATTGACTTTTGTAGGGGAATTCTCCATTAGAGCTTAGGCGTTGCCTTGTTTACTATTGTTAAGGCTTTAAATTTTAGTGGATTTAAATATCTTTTTTAAAAAAATTTAAAAGCGTAACTGGTTTTGCAGTATGATGAATTACTATTTTTTTAAGACCATAGTATGGTTGTGTTATTGATTTTGCAGTATAATGAATTACTTATTAGTGGGAGAGCCAAAATGCATTTGGAGTTTCATCCTTATTGATTTTGCAGTATAATGAATTACTTATTAGTGGGAGAGCCAAAATGCATTTGGAGTTTCATCCTTCTCTTTAAATCATGTTTCACATATTTTTTTAGGTGCTAGATCTTTCTTATTTGCTCTGTCTCTCTCTTGGTGTATGGCAAATGCCTTTTCTTATGTATTCAAGTGATATCAGCAGGTAGGTTATGGGGCCAATAAAGAAGAGTCCTAGAGACAAATGCTCACTATACACCTGGCTAAAGAAGATTTTGAATACTACTAGTACCATCTAGAGAGAGAACTACAAGAAATATGTGTACTGGCTCAATATGGTTTAGAAGACTAATGTACAATATTTGGATATTTTGTTGTCGAGTTTCACTCGATCTGTAGATGATGAAACAATTGGGCATTTTTTCAGACCAAGTAGCAGCTTTGGAGGAGAAGATTGAAGGCATTTTAACTAACTTCGAGCTCAGATTCTCATTGTCATCTTTCTTTTCTTTGCTTGTATTGTGTTTTGTGAATAACCATTGTATATCCTATACAACTTCCAAATATTAATGAAATGGGAATGTTTTGCCACTTGTTTGCTTACTATCTCTACTTCTTTTTTTCTTTTTTTCTTTTTTTTCCAAATATTAAGTGCTCATTGTCAATGACTTCGGTCCAATCTAAAATGTCCAATGACAATATGTAGAGGGAGAGAGCATCCACACTCATGATACTTGAAGGTGGAGGCTAAGATATACACATCAAATTTCAACATGTAATTCTCATTCTCTGTGGTTAGACTGGCACCGCTACACGAAAAAATTGCTAGTGCCAGCCCACAAAGAGGTTGCTCTATACAAAAACCCGCAAAGGGGTTCAAAAAATGCTTTGTATCCAAAATATAAATAAAAAGTTTAGATATAAAAAATGGGGAACCAACCATATGCTAAAAAACGTGCTAAAAAAAATCCCATGTTTGTTGTCTTGTGTTGCTCCTCTTTAACGAGAACATCGGATGCTGAGCTGGGCTCTCCCGATAAGTTACTCCATAACAAGAGTGGGACTCATACACAAGGGTCGGATCAAAATGTTGTAGTTGCATCAAACTGCATGTAAAGGGTAAAAAATCATCACCAAACAATATAT